AGGATCCTGGGCTCGGCTTATCGGCTGCTTTTACCGCTAAACTCAGCAACCGGACGGCTCTTCATTAACTGACCGCGTCTACCTTTACTGCATTCATTTTTGTTGTCATGCCATTTCCACTTTAAAATAGGCGATTTTCAATCCAAACAGCTAAAGTTAGTATGTTAGCGTAAGGCGTGTACCGGAAGGTAGATAGCGTAATATATATATATATATATATATATATATATATATATATATATATATATATATATATATATATATATATATATATATATATATTCACAGTCTGTTAACAGATAATTTGCCATTAGGACCATGGCAGAAAAAATGGAGGAGATAGAAAGACCAACTGCGATAATAATAAAATGGAAAACGATTTTTTCGGTTTTACACACACCATTTCGAATTTTCTGTTTTTGTTTTGTCAGTTTTTTGTGTGTATTAAAGGAGGATATAATGGCAGAAAAACATTGACGCCACTGATGTCTGTTGCGGGCCATGACATCCAATGTTTCCAACCACTGAGATTCAGCATCTCGTGGTCACCAACCTGGAAGAGGGACTGGTCCAACTGCCGCTGAACTTGAAGTTGCCTTCTTCAAGCTCCTTCTACACGTCGTTGGCCGTCCACCGCGGCACTTTTCCAATCGCTCGCTGGGAGTGCAAATAGCGCTCGACCTGGAAGGCGATGGGCTGGCATGCGCAAAACGTGCCCGAGCCAACGCATGCGATGTCGGAGAATAATGTCCTGAAGACTGGCACTATTCGCCCCAAGCACGCGGTCTCACACCTCTGCGTTGCTTACGTGGTGTTGCCACCACACCCGAGCAATCCTTCGTAGACAGCGATTGTCGAAGACTGACAGCCACTTCATGTCTTCCGAGCGAATAGGCCAAGTCTCACAGCCGTACATGAGTACTGCACGGACGGAAGCATTGCACACCCTGCCCTTGAGCTTGAGACTGACATCACGACGACGCCATAGGTGTCTCAGTTTGATGAATGCAAGGCGGGTCTTTGCAATCCGTTGTGAGACTTCATCTCCAACACCGCCACCAGCTGTGATGCAACCCCTAGATAATTAAAGCAAATGACTTGCTCAAAAACATGTCCAGCAATGTTGAGCGCGAGTCCAGGCACCTGCCAGTCCTGGAGCAGCGTTTTACATTTTCCCGGGGTGAAGCATGAGCTGTACTTAAACGCCTCCATCGCTAAGCGGTCCAAGGCGCTCTGGACGGTTTGTGAGTCTCCCCCAGCAAAGCGATATCATCGGCGTAGTCCAAGTTCGTGACTCTGTCTACAAGGAAGAACACAACACCGCAAACCCGGACACCTTCTAGTACCATTTGGACAACAACTTCGATGGCAACATGGAGGAGGAAAGGTAAAATGGGGCGATCATGGCGTACACCGCTGGTCAGGGTAAATGAAGAAAGGAGCGTGCCGTAAGCTCTGACTTTGCCCGAATTGTGACTGTAAAGTTCTTTCAGGATGGTTACAAACTTGTCGGGCACACCTTTCTTCAGTAAACAGTTCCACAACGCAGATCTATCTACTGAATCAAATGCCGCTCGGATGTCCAAATGCACTACGATTGTTGGCCGCCGGTGGATGTGACGAAGTTCGAGAACTTGCCGAATCGTGAAGATTTGGTCGATGCAGCCGCGGCCTGGACCAAATCCAGCTTGTTCTTCTCGGGAAAACTCCTCTCTAGTCGTTGAGAGTCTGCGAAGTAGGACTGACACGAAGATTTTGGATGCGATAGAGATTAACGAGATTCCGCGGTAGTTGCAGCAATCGTCGCGGGAGACCTTCCTGTGAATCGGAACAATGACCCATTCTCCCATGAGCTCGGAATCTTCTCCTCAGTCCAAACTTTCGTGAACAGCGATAGGATTTCGCTGACAAGTACACTTCCTCCATCTTTGAATAGAGCCGGTGGTAGACTGTTGAGACCAGGAGCCTTGTGGCGTTTCAAAGATTGGATTACATCGCGGACCTCTGCTCGATTTGGGGGGCAGTGGAGACAGGTCAAGCACCATCCATTGGGGCTGGTGGTGTCACAGGGAGCTGTGTTGGGTGGTTGAATTGAAGAGCGAAATGCTCTGCCCAGCGACCCAATCGCCTGTGAAGATTGGTGATCTTCGTGCCGTCTGATTCGCAAATCGTCTGGCTGATAGCGTTGGAATTGCAACTGGTGGCCCTGATGATGTAAACTAGACGGCGGAAGTTGCTAGCTGATGCAGCGGCTTCCATCTCATCAGCTTGGTTTGACTGCCAAGATTCACGCTCAGAGTGAAGGCTTGCTTTCAAATGTTGCTTAATATACCGGCGGTGTTCGTTATACTCTGCGCCAGTAGGCATAGCCCGTCAGCGATACAGCAATTCCGAAGAACTTCCAGAGACCCAACTTTTGATACTGGAGCAATCGAGGCCACAGCTGGAAAAACCGGCCGACAGCAAGGTTTGTTGCAGACTTGACCAGTATTGATTTACATCCAGAGCGTGAGAGAGAGAGATTTTCATGAAGCCTTTGTTGATACTCCTTCTTCACCATTGGATCCTCCAACTTGTAGGTGTTCAGTCAGGTGCGTTTTACCTTGGCGAACCACCGAAACGCATGCAAACGGACGCACATACCAGTGCATGATCGGTATCGACGCATGTTGACCAAAATGATCGGCAGTCGCGTACGCTGCCGCGCCACCTGCGACGTATAGCTATGTGGTCAATTTATGACCAGCGCTGAGTTGATGATGGGGGGCGTCAAGTGGCGTACAGGTGTCCAGGATGACGAAAGTTGGTGCTGGAGAGGAATAGTTGATGATCAGCACACAGACTGAGCAGTCTCTCTCCGTTGTCTGAGCGAACATCATCACATGCATGCGGTCCCCCGAGGTGGCGCTCACATGCCAGCAGACGACCGACACGCGCGTTGAAGTCTCCTGCCAAAACAATGATGTATGTTTTAGGAGCCCTTAGGAGCAGCTCATGAAGGTTCTGGTAGAAGTGGTATTTGACGGTGTCCGAGCTAAAGTCGGTGGGCGCGTAGGCAGAGATCACGAAGAGAGCACGCCTTTCCACTCGATGTCTGCTAACTTTAAAAGGGCCATGGAGCCTCATCGCACAAAGGCGATTATTGATCGGAATCCAGTCAATCAAAACAGTCTCGGCTCTAGCACTGAGGGCGATTCCAACACCAGTTTGTCCAGATGCGACAGACTGGGCGTCACCAGAGAGGCGGAGATGGAAGCGGGTGCGTGAGTAGAGCGGTGACGCCAGCTGGTAGACCGGTTTGGAGTCCAGGAGTCGTGTTTCATTCAGGCAGCAGCGTGCAAGTCCAGCTTGCTGACCGATCTGCAGTAATGTGCGTAGGTTGAAGGCTGCAAGTTTGAACTGCGTTCCGGGTTGCAGGAGTGAAGATGGGAGACTTTGGGACTGACAGCTGTCTGTTGAGCACTGTGTGGTTGAGTTGACAGTTGTCGTGGGAACAGGTTCATCGGTGTAGGTAAGGTTGCTCGCCAAAGAGAAATCAGGTAAAAATGGGTGTGGATGGTACAAGGGAAGGGTAGGTAAAATGGCGGCATGTGCTTGTGAATTTGGCATAGTAACATGAGTGAATAGCATGGTAGCAGCAAGAGCGCGAGTGAGTGGTTGTGGTTGTAAGTCCACGGTTCGTCATTATGCAAGATACTACCCGGTTGCCCAGGCTGAATTAGTGGGTTGTATTAGGGGCCCCACCCCGAGCCTTTGATCAAGGATCTAACCTACAAGGCAGCATGGCAATATGGGCGTATAGATAGCGTAAGCTTGCCAGGTTGAAATATCGTGGCACTGTCGAAGCATACTTGATCGTATTGACACTTCTTGAGCGCTATCTTTTGCCTCCTGAGGGCACTGAAGACAGTACATACAGCTAAGTGAATCCCGTGTTCTCCCAGCCACTGCTGTAGCTGCATCACCGTGTCGAAAGGCCGTTCAGCCGTCTACTCAACGAGCCGCAGGACATCGGGAGTCAGCTCCTGCCTGTTGTTTCCTGCACATTTATGCTGAGTGTTGTTGCGTTCTCCCCCGTAGGCAGTGATAATGCTTCTTGTCATGCTATCGTAGACGTCTGCTACCGTAGCTGGTATCCGGGTGACCAAGTCCTGGAGTAAGTTTATTAAGGCTATCACCACCTTCGCAATGAGAATAACTACAACTCGCGTCGTGGACTACAGTCTTTGCAGAAAACCAAACATCAGTCTAACGAATAGTTGGGTCTATCTCTTTTGCAATGTTATAGGACACAACTAATGTTTAGCTATTGCAAAGAAAGGAGAAGCATCAACTGTACGCCGGTACGCCGTACCGACGCTTTGCTGCCGCGCAACCACCACCGGTCGCACGTGGGCTAAGGATACCGCTAGGGTCACCGTACCGTACGTGGGCTAGAACCCGCGCCGTCAGGTTACAAGACAAGCTCGTTGTCCTTAGGCTCCGGGCCGACATTGCATTCAAAATTGTTTGTATATTATTGACAAGCGTACGTATTGAGAGTTTAAGCCTGGTTAATGTTCACAGTTGAAATTTCCTAGCATCCATCTATTGAATTGGTATTTGCCAGTTTCTAGTATAAAAAAACGAGCTTTGACGCTATGTACTACACCGCAGCTAGGATTGGAACAAATTCCATCCTCTCACGGAGGCCACGCAAACAAGTGACTCATGTTTCCTCCTGAACTGAAACTGACAAGGCCAAGGTTTACTGAACCCTCCCGTAATGGCTAGTGATGGTTTTCCATAAAAACTCACTGTGATAATGTTGGCCTGTGAATGAACCAGTTATCTTTGCTTATCTCTTGAGCTGCCTGAACTGAAGGTATTTGACACGGTCACAAACCCTTACCATTATAACCAAGTGTCCCAGACGTTATTGTCATTTCAACGAACGACTGACAGGCGCATGTGAAGAAATCTCAGTATAAAGAGTGTTTCGTGGTAAGTGTTGAACTTACATGTTCCCGTATTTTTTGTCTGATCGCCTCCTCTATCCCAAGCATCTGTTTCTGTGCTTCCGAATCGCAGCTGCTATTCCACGAATCCTCCTCCTTCAAGGGTTCCGTGCACTGAACGACCTCAGTTGACGCGGTTGCCATCTGTTTTCCGTTTGTTAATTACAAAGTGTTTCAATTTGGTGTGTTGCTCAGCGATATCATAGGAACATGTTGAAATAAATGTTGGTTGTTTTCGGTCATTCACGCTATGCAAGTATCCATTGGAAGATGAGTTAAACCCCGTGACTACTAACATATGGAACCTATCCAGACTGAGGTAAAGGTGTTCCGTGTATCAATAAAATTGGAATTTCCGGGATAGAAGGAATTATTAGGTGCGTAACTGAATAGTTATCAACAGTCTGTTTGTTTTATTATAAACGTGAACAAGTGGGAGAAATACAGGTGATATAATGTTCAGCACACTAGATTGACGGCACCATAATGCTGATAGCTTACAGTGTGCCCGTGCGAATATGTCGGGCTATCGTAGTGAGCGTTGGCGAAATAACTACGAATAGCAGATGACACGGGTTGAATGTGGCTCCATGCACGGAGCTTATGGTTCACTAAATTGGAAGGACCTACCATATTTTCCCAGTGGTTATGAACCACGGGAGATTAATGACAGAAGAAAAGCGGAGGTGCGGACAGCTGCACCTGTACCTAACGTATGCTGTCAAAAGTCCTTATTGTTTGGCCCACGATAATGCGTTGAAAAGTTTTCAACCAAGTCTTACCCAGAAGGGCAAAGTTAACATGTAGTTAGATCACACTGACTTGCGTATCCATACTTGTAAAGTCACAAAAGGACAGCTCAAGCATAAACGGTATCCTAAGGGAACTCACATGTAGTAACAGAGCATTCGCCCTTTTATTAACAAGGCATGTTACCTCTGTGCAGTTAAGCAATACAGCTTTCCCCATGATGATGCTCGACAAAGGAAGATTGATGGAAGATTGAAAACATATCCTTGATTCAAATATCTTGTTACTTATTTCGGATAAGTGTTTTCAGTGACATTACCAAGAAGTAGCGCTACATCTAGATTTTGAGTGATTTCCCATAATTCCTTTACCGGCATGTTTAGCAGCCAGTTGCCCCTTTCAAAAAGTCCACAAACATCATCCAAATTACATCCCTTAGCAGCATACTTGCCACCTCGATTGGTGGCGGCTTGCAAAGGAAGTCGTTGCTCTGGGGGCCAGCCCTGTCCTCTACACTTGTAAGACAGTGGAGGATGAGCCACGCTATATCGCAGTTAGATATCAGTCATGGCGGTCCGCTGACGTCGCCCACGGCTCAGTGGCATACGTCGCTGACTCGCATGAGTAAGGTCGTGGGTTCCAATCCAGCAGGATTCGGCGGGTGCGCGCTACGGACGAGTCCCAATAGGACGAAACGGCCGTCTAGCGCTTTCCTGGATGTGTGGTGGATGTCTGTCTGTGTCTAACTGCGACGAATCTATACATACGTCCAGATGCAGTCGCAGTCTTGTTAGAATGGCTTAAAGAAAAAGTAGGATTGATGACCGGAGTGAGTATACGCAGGATCCAGTCACCTCCTTTAGGTAGTAAAAAGTCAGGGTGCAATTGCATCCAACCTTTTTTTACTTTTTCGTTCTGATCCTGCAACATTCACAGCGATCATGACGGCACTGAGCGGGGACTAGTTTCTACACCACATCAGTGTTCGAAACATAACGGCGTACCCAAAACGAAGAGCAAATACACAATTGTTCAAACGCAAAGACAAGCAAGGGCTTAGAGCTAGTTAAGCTGACAGTGACCAAAACTACTGAGTGGATGCTTTCGATGTAGTTTGTAAAGTGTTCAATCTAGTCAGCTCCCGTCCAAGCAGACTCTATTACATCTGGGAGGCTACCAGACGAACGTTTCATTCTAACAGGACTAGTCACTGTTGAGACTCCCCCGAATGAGTGTCTGGACGGGCACAAAGCCCGTCGTAACCCCCACCTCCATTGCATATATACTTGTGATATGGCAAACGACAGCTTTAACGAATAGCTGGGAGGCCACTAATCAGCGGAACCTAACTATGGGATAAGAGCTAGCAAGCACAGAGTTTGGACTGATATCTGTTGGAAAAGCACAATAAGAAGACGAAATTCGATTGGTACATGTAGTTAGTATCCTCTCGTCAGGTAAAACAGCTTCAACCAGCTAGCACTAATAAGGCTACATGGTTTACGAATAAGGTGACTGAGATAGCCCGGGAATCAAAGTGCATACTTTTGTCTCGACAGCTTAGTTCGCTACATGGACTGTATGCCAAAGATGCGGTTGTAGTTATTCTCGACAAAGCTCAGCATTTGTACTCACAATTAAGTATGAATACGTCAAGATGAGAAGTATCTTCCTGAATGATGCTAATAACTTTGGCCGACTTGACAGAGCGGAAGAAGTGAATGTGTTCGAGCTTCATGTACTTCTTCCTTTGGAAATTCGCCGTCAGCAATTTTGCGCGACGGAGATACTTATAACACCTGGAAGTTCCGTGGCTCTAGTGTACCACAAGTTTATGTGTCATCAGAGAGGTATACGAGAGAAGTGCTACACATATCGATCTATTCGGTGATAGACACGCGCCGGTAGAAGCTAGCTAGCTGGTTGATGAATGTAGTTCCTCCTCTGAGGATAACAATGGCACAATGGCACAATACGGATAAAAAGCCATAGTCTTACCGGCACCATTGGATGGTTTGTGCCCATTCCATAACTTCAAAATGTACTTACATCGATGTGAAACGCGCATTTGTGGACTCACCATATTAGATACGTTTACACATATGTATATCCGCTAACAAAAATTGCATGGTGGCTGGTGAGCACAATGTTTGTAGGCGTCTTTTCTTCACTCGATGAATGTAATTCAGGTCAAGTAATGCATATAGTATACTACATCGTCGAGCCTTGTTTAAAATAGGTAGCGTGAGCACAGAAATGACGAAGATCGAAAGAGTGTCCCACGGCCGACAAAATGTAAGAGAAAATAATTCCGGCGGCATTCCAGTCATAATATTGAGTAACAAGTTTCATCTTTCATTGTTATGTATTGCAGATAAGTTTCAGGTGCTCGCAGGCGTGAACGGGATATTTCGAGATCCGGTACACCAGAATTGGGTCCACCCTTAGATCACAAAATGTTCCGCTGCATACTCTTACAGTTTCCAGTCGCAGATGGCATGGCAGATGGAATGATTTCTTTACGTTTTGGGCTGCCCTTCGTTGTGTGGTCTCCAGTGCAACCAGCTTGCGGTTTAGGCAAGATTGTCAGGCAAGAATCGCGTACTCTACATAGGGCCTCACATATGCATTGAGCTTTTGGGGAAAGATGGATGGGTCGAACCACCCTTAAGAGACCAACATGTTGGTTAGCGGTTTTGGATGCCCTCAAAGGATGCGTCGAACAGCCAAAATCGTCTTGTATCACCACCCCGAGATCGCGCTCTCATGAGTCGGTTTCCAACATGTAGTTTCAGTTTACTTGCGTAAGTGGGCTTGTGGTGTACATGTACAGTCTTACATTTGTCCGCGTTAAATTGAAGTAGATTTGTCTCTAATCATTCAGAAGCACGGTCTAACTCTTGGTGCAGCAGATCATGCTTGTTCTGAAAACCAATCACTTGCCATATCTTGATGTCATCGGCAAATCAGGAAATTTCACCTGGTGACGCGCACCAAGTCGTTAATGAAGATCAAGTATAAGAGCAGTCTAAATACTGACCCTTATGGAACACCGCAGTCCACATCAACAAGATCAGAAAATGAGCCCTGAATCCGAACCTGAAGCCGCCGCTGAAGAAGGAAATTTTTGATCCATCGAAAGACCGGGTCCCAATTCGGTACGTTGGCGGCTTTCGGCAAAGAGAATACGGTCGAAGGCTTTAGAAAATTCGAGGTGAATGATATCGCTTCCGATCCCACAATCGGCCATTCGTGTCCAACTTCCATGACCAATTAGTAGCTTGGTAGTACATGACCGATCTTGTCGGAATTCTTGTTGCTCCGGTACTATGATGTTAGACCTTTCTAGATAACCCATGAGTGCGTCAGCTCTGATCGACTCCATCACTTTTGAAATCACCAAGGGGAGAATAACCGAGCGATAGTTGGCAAGCTCCGAACGGCTACCACCCTTGAAAATTGGAATAATGATACCCTGCTTCCACAATTTAGGAACTTGCTTTTCACCAAAGGGTCTATGGAAAAAGCGGGTTAGTGGCTCTGCTGTCCTCGCAGCTGCTAAATGCAGTGCTTTCAATAGGATGTTGTAACCACGGGGAGAACTATGGTTGCGCGATGACAGCTTCCTCAAAACGGTCACTAAACTAAACGTGACGTGTGAAACTACTAATGTCTGGAGGAATGGAACTGGTAGGTGACGCATGCTGGTGACGCGTCAAAATACTGGGCCATATTGGAGTCGTAGAAGGTTGGTTGCACCCTCGGCGGTTTGAGCACATTCATTTGCTGAGAAGAGTGGGGAAGCACCAAACGTCGCAACCCGGAGGCTGTTCACATGTTTGTACGGAAGCTTGAGGCTGGTTTACCGCACTATCTCCACGTGGTGTCAGCTGGGTGGTGCGGGTTTACTACATTCTAGCAAAGTGTTCCAGGACCTGGTGGGATTTCGCCTGGCAAGCGTTCTGCCCATAAAAAGTCACATTTATCCGTCTAACACTGCGACGTAGCGGATGTGACTCGACACTAAATAAAGTCACTACCACTTGCTTCACCTCGGTAGAACATCGCACTCCAGTTGGTATGTGCTAACATCTTGCGGAGGATTGGGTCCCAGTCTGATAACCCACCAAAAGAAAAGCGTATAAATGAGTACTCGGTCACCGGCTCCCAGCCGGTGCGATTACCTGAATTCGCTCCGCTGCCTTGCGGGTCGGCTATTTGCCAAAGGCTCGCGGCGGTGTTTCCTAAGACAACTCCCTAATTTGGTTTGGACAGCCGGGTAGTATCACGCCCACTGACAAAACCATGGACCGTTCTTCTGCTACACCGCACTTAACTACTTTTGCTATATATATATATATATATATATATTTATTTATTTATTTATTTATAGG